TAGTGATTGTTTTGCCCCTGCTAAGCTGTAGAGCGCCCCCAGCGACAATAAATTGAGTTCCAGCTACTTTTAAGCTCAAAATGCCCCCCCTCCCCCCCCCCCTTTTCAACTATCAATTGTTGTAATCGGGTGATAGCCTACTGCTCCCTTATGATTTGGAAGCATCCGTTACGGAAAAAAACCCTTGTTGATACCTTTAAAACACTTTTCCCCCTCCCCGTAGGTTCCGCCCACTGTAAAGACCACTGCCGCGGCACAGCGCATGCGCGAAACGGCCATCTTTGTGATTCTTTATAATAGCAGGCAACTTTTAAATTTTAACACAAAATCACATTCAGGACAAGCAGAATATCTCCAAAGTCAATATTTTGAAAAAAAAATGAAAGAAAAATATTATCCGAGGTCGATATTAAGCCCGAAAATAGTGATTGTTTTGCCCCTGCTAAGCTGTAGAGCGCCCCCAGCGACAATAAATTGAGTTCCAGCTACTTTTAAGCTCAAAATGCCCCCCCCCCCCTTTTCAACTATCAATTGTTGTAATCGGGTGATAGCCTACTGCTCCCTTATGATTTGGAAGCATCCGTTACGGAAAAAAACCCTTGTTGATACCTTTAAAACACTTTTTCCCCCTCCCCGTAGGTTCCGCCCACTGTAAAGACCACTGCCGCGGCACAGCGCATGCGCGAAACGGCCATCTTTGTGATTCTTTATAGGGTGCATACCTGCAAATAAACTCCCATAGACACTAGTGCTAAATGCCCGTACTTCAAAATTCTTTTAAAAATACTCAAAACTCTCACAGGTATTCAAGCTGCACAATAAAATGATGATCAATGTGTCGTCTTTCATTTTCTTTTCAATTTATGGTGGGTTGACCATTGACTTTTCGAGATATTTTCACGCAAAGAAGACGACCCCTATTTTCCCCAAAGCGGAAAAGTAGCCATCTTGAAAAACGATCCCTACACAACATGGCAAAATAACGCCACTTTCGAGCCCAATAGCATCCAAAATGCTCAGAATTGGAAGCCCCAAGTCCGGGCCAGAGGTTCACTACCATATCTCTTCAATTCCCCAATTTTACGGCGCTCAGAACTCTCTAATATAGAATATTTTGAGGGTATAACTTTTATTCATGAGCTTGGCGGATCGATTTACCGGTGTGTACCCTTAAGGGAATATACAACATTTGCAAACATCGAAAAATAAAACTACCAAGTGTTTACGAAATACCTTACTAGGATGTTGGTAAATGACAGTCTCAAGCATCTTGTAAAATTATGGCACTTGGTGTGAAGTCATTTTCAAGAAAATGGTATTTTTGTAAACATTTCCAACGGTGGTCGGCCGACCAGCGTTGGAAAAACCAACAAGTTTTCAACTACTGCTCCAAATTTACCATTTTTTCAGTCCAAATTTCGTTTGCTATTGGTTACATGTTCATGATGAGCGGGTGCAAGCCAGCTAGACTGGTTCCCTTGCCTTATTTTCCATCATCTATAAATTGATCAATTTTATCTTTTGTGGAGTCGGGGAACCAGACTACTTGAACATTTTTGTTTTTCTTGGTTTTTCCAACCTATTCGAACACCAAACTTCAAAAATGTCAGTGTAACAATATTTGATCTATTATACAAACCTCTCAGATAGTTCATTTCTGAAAATTACAGCATAAGCCAATGATGTGCATTCCCTTTAAATCAAGTACTAAACATTGACTGAAAAACCTTGACGTAGTTGCCGGCTAAGTATACGGTACTATTCATTAGCGGAGATTTGTGTCACCTACGCGTTCCCACTTGAATTGGAAAAAAGGTGGATCAAGATCCGGCATTTTGGTGTGATCGTGTTAACGACCCCGTTCCCACTTGATCCACCAATTGGGGGATCTGATCCACCTTTTGCCAAATTGCCGGATCAGATCCCCCAATTGGTGGATCAAGATCCGGCAATTGTGTGTAGTGGGAACGCTAACCGTTATAAGGTGGATTCTGATCCACCTCTGGACCAGGATACAGATCCCCCAATTGGTGGATCAGATCCAGCAATTGCCGGATCACGATCAGATGGGAACGCAAAAGGTGGATCTGATCCGGCAATTTGATCTGTTAACATCCGAGTGGCGCGAAAATGTTGCGGTTTCATGAACGAATTAAGAAACACGTTTTCAGACGTGTAGCTCATGTGAACATTTCCAGCGTATACAACATGCACAATAAACAACCGCTGAACTACAGGCTAGCACCGCGCATGCAAAAGCGCACGTGGTATCCTAAAACTACACTATAGGCCTTATTTTTGTTGCGTGTTCGTCCATTACTAAACCTTTTTCATTCCTGAAATTTTACTTATTTTTCCATCCATAAATGACTCTGAGTCCACACTCACCAAAAGACTTCACTTTGGCACAGAATCATTGAAAAGCTTACGAGTATGCCATGAGAATAGTGCCGATAAAGCGGTACGTACGGGAGGTGACAAATCTGAAGTATTGATTATAGAAAATTGGAAAATGATGTCGTAGTACATCATGTGACCGTTTCTAACCAATGAGAAGCTTCAGAACCAGGGAATCCCTTATCGATGCATTGGTTTCTGCCGTGATGTCACACGTGAGCGGCTCCGTTGGATTTCACCTTTTAATTTATGCACGCACGGATCCTCTACGGATCCGTGATTTATGTTGTGAATTCGCGTAATTTTTGTCTATGAATTCTGATAGTGCTGTTTGAAAACTGACCCATCCTGGCCTAGCATGCAACCTTGCAACAATGGCACTCCCACAGAGCGCGCGTAATTCCGAACTCAGTGACCTTTCGGACCCAACATTTCCGTACGAAAAGGTGGATCAAGCATAAGTGGGAACGCGACTTGCGGTTTCGTTGCGGTAAAACACAAAAGAACGTTTAAATCCTTCGACAAATATACCGATTATCATTGTCGTCGCACGTGAAGAAATAGGATTATGTAATGATCCCGAGTTGACAAAACCGTACTGGCCTTGGTAATAAAGAAATCATGGGGCGTGATAATAATTCGGTGTTCCAATTATTACCGAACCAGGCAAATGTTGAGAAACCTTTGTGTTTAAATGTTTTATGCGTTGCAGGTAACTTGGAGGTTGTTCTTTGTTTTAATGTGTAACAATGGATTCTCAAGAGCATCGATCGTGCCTATCCAAGCATGAACTATACGGCCTCTGACTCCACCTAAACGTATAGGGTTTATATCTTCCAATGCAAATATGAAGCTTGTTTGTAGACAATGTATCATCTGTGAGATGTAGGCCATAATTGTAAAATAAAATTAGGTTTATGGAATTATTTTTGCGCATTTATATTCTTAAAGAGTTTACCACCTAGTTGATTTATAGACAAGCATTGCAAGCATCTTATCAATTGTATGTTTCATAAATGAAGTACCCTTTATAAGGCATTATTGAATTACAGCGCAGACATGTTGATAATTTATTACGATTCCTCTTTTTTAAGAGGTGACGACTTTTTCAAAGTTTCAACATCGCACTTTAAACATATTATAAGACCCTCCCCCCTCATTTGCATTTAAGTGTGGTTTAGGTGGAAGGAAATGGAAATGATATTTTTTGTAGTAAAGTTCACGACTGGAAAAAAGACGAGACGACACGATTTTTCGTTCTGGCATGATTTATTTGTCATTCCTTGTCAATTCTAATTTTTCATTAACAGCATAAACCAGCTTGATGTCAGAGTATCGTTTCATTCTGTGCTAGGTATCAGTGTTTTACAGCTCCATGATGTCATAAAAGAATGTAATAAATACCCCGGGAGTACCGATATCTAGGCAACAGTAAAATTCTGATAGTAATGACATAGTAAGCACATATGCTGCATGGGAAGAAGCATGTGTACATGTACATTCAAACAGACCTGAATCAAAGTTAAGTTGAGGTTTCAAAGTTGCGTTGAATAAAAATAATAGTATTTTCATGATTTGTCTTCACACTGCCTACATATATACATGAGGCAACAGGTTGCGAAATAAAATAACTGATGTTACTACAATTCAAACTGTAAAATCAAGGTACTTGCGCTCATCAATAATACATAATTGATCTTTGGTTTTCCAAGTTAAAAGAGTAAAAAGAATTAGGAAATATTTCAAGTTAATGAAATAGAAGGAAGAAAAATTAGTGCATGTCATGTTTGGGCTGGAATTAAGACCAGAACTCCGGACTTGAGAAACGTGACGTCATTGTGGATGTCAAATTCAACCTCGTATTGGAGCTCGAAAGCTAAGTTAACGAGGTTGTTGGGACATCCACAAAAACTAACACTTGAACACACGGAGTGCTGGTCTTAACCCTTGCCCCTATACGATGTGCGAAAAATCATACGAAAATCGAACGATTCAGGACTGTTGTGATTGAGTGAAAAATATTTGTTTGTGTTTAATTTTATGGATTCTTTTGATTTGATGTTTAGAATTCTGCTATCATTTTCTTGCTCACCCATGGACGTGAAAAAGGAACTTAGAATCAAAGTAAACTTTTTGTTTGCAAACGCTTTTAAGATCAAGTTAAATGCCTCTTTGTTTTCAACAATCTTTGATGCAAATAAAATTATGCATAATAACACAAGTACTCGTAAAGCAAATCTTAAATTGATTATTTGCTTTCAAGTTTTTTAGGCCACTTCGTTTTAGACCATTATTTGTTTTTTTTATTAAAGCCATCTTTGTTACCTGTTAATGGAATAATAAGTTGTCAAAATCGCACAGAAAAAGTAAACGTTGGTAGTATTTTTGCTAATCGGTTCAATGAGCAGATTGTTTTCAATTTTGTTTTTCAATGTTACCAAAGGATGTTACAACTGAACCGAATGACCAAACTGAGAATCGCAGAACAACAATCACTGCCTGGTGACTACTTGTACACAAGTGGCCTCAGTGATTTCTCAATGTCATGCTTCTGGAAACTAGACAAAATGGCTGCACCATGATAAAGTTCTCTGGACAAAGCAAATTCTGGGAGGAGTGGAGAACATTAACTGACTAACAATTTATAGACATACCTCAGACTATTAAAGGGAATGCAATGATTACTGTCTTGCGTGGAACAATTTGCCGTGAATTGCGTCGCGTGCAGACATGGCCCTAAACGGCCGCATTCGAATCGGTTGTGTTAGACTACGACACTACGGTTTGCATGCTCCCAGCTTTCCACTAATCATATACTGCTTTGTAATCGTAGTCAAAAACATCAGATTCGAATGCGGCCGATCTCTTTCTGTGCGATTCTGGATTTCATAAACTAACAAAGATGGCGACGAAGATTAGAAGGAGAAGGTGAAGAAGTAGGAATAGGAGACGGGCTGGAAGGCTGCTGCTCAGCCTTCATCATCTCCGCGATGAGATGGCAACGAAGATTAGGAGGAGGAGAGGAGGAGAGAGGAGGAATAGGAGTCGAGCTGGAAGGCTTCTCCTCAGCCTGCATCATCTCCGTGATGAGATGGCAACGGAGATTAGGAGAAGGAGAGGTTGAGGAAGGAGGAATAGGAGTCGGGCTGGAAGGCTGCTGCTGCTCAGCCTGCATCATCTCCGTGATGAGATCGCCTAGTTTCCCCGAGACGGCCTCAAGTGTTGGGCGAGCATCGGGACTTCGTCTCATGCAGGACTCGCCTAGCAGACGGAGACCGTGGAGGGAGTTTGCACCACCGGCTACAGAATGCACGAAGAGATGGCCAAGGCTGTAGATGTCAGTCTTCTCATTGTAAGCGTCTCTACTTTCCAGAATCTCGGGCGCACACTGGAAGTGAATGTTTGATGAGAGAGTAAAATTACTTTAGCCTACGCAGACTGTAATAATTCATTGTTCTCCGTCACTTCATGTTTATTTGGTTAAGCTGGACTTTGTCATCCTTACAAAATTATCAATTTTTGTTTTATAATTGAGTAAAGAACATTTTAATCTCATCATTTTTAAACGTTGGGCAAGGGGAGAGAAAGCACAAAAGATGCAAAAGGGAACACAGATCAAAAACAAACGTAAAAATATGGATTAACATTGAAAGATAACGGCACATACATGGTTTTAATTGTCTAGGTTTTGTTCGTACATGCTTGCTATATTTATAGACCCTCCTCTGTTCCTCGTCATCCAGGATCGCGACTGGGCCTGGATTTGATATCTGCGAGGTGAGTCCCAGGTCGATGATCTTGCCACACCAAGCCACCTCAGAGCCTGGTGGATTGGGACACACCATGGCATTATTCCAGTGTAGGTCGTTATGAAGCCAGCCAGCAGCGTGTAAAGCCTTGAGTCCCTCCGTGACATCACGGCAGACGTGCAGCCACTCTAACGGGTATAAGAGATCGTAGTCGTTCCGCGCCTTGCTGAAGTTGAAAGCCATGTTACTGTCCACACCGCCCACAAGCTCTTGGGCGTAAGAACAGTAATCGATGACTCCTACAAATTTGGGGAAGTAGGGGCAGTTCATCACCGCATGCATGGCTGCCACCTCGTACTGTAAGTCAGAGAAGTTTTTAACCAGCACCTTGACAGCAAGGGGAGTGTTGTCTTCTATATTACGCATCAGTAGGACTCCACCACAAGAACCCGACCCAAGTGCCACTTCCTTTCCGTTGTCAGACATAATGAACTCCAACTCGCTGGGATCGATTGAGGGATAGGCTGTGAGTTCTGGTAGTCCTTCCTGAGGATCCTGCGTTGCTTGGGAGTTCTTAGAAGAAGCATTGGCTGTGCCGGGTGTGGAGTCAGATGTTGCCGCATCTTTCCAAGCGGAACTCGTCGAGATTTTCGGTCGTGGCGAATGGTGATTTTCTCCAGATGATGCTTTATTGGCAATGGATGAAGAAGATTCTGCATCTTTCTCAGAAGCGGCCTCTTGAGGACTTGAGGTGTCCTTCTTAGCCTGTGATGCTTTACTTAATGAATCATTGGAAGGTGACTTCTTCGAGATGTAAGGTTGGTTGTCATATGAGGATTCCCTGTTGGCAACATCCCTTGGTTTACTTTCAGCAGATATCATCTCAGAGAGCTTTGAAATGGAAGGCTCTGGACGTCCAGCTGGCGTTGCCTCTTGTTGATCCGAGTCGCTCATTTTAGTTCTTTCTGCGGGTTTCTCCAAAGCTGTGGCGGAATGTTTCTTTGCAGTTATGGATGAAGAAGATTCCGAATATTTTGGAGATACGAACGTCACGAAGGCATCTTCTATAGTCTGCGATTCTTTGTCCTGTCTGTTATTTAAAGTTTTCCTGACAGAATTTACTGGAGAGGCTGATTGCAAACTTTCAACGCTCGACCCTTCATCTTCCGTCGATAAGGAGGTCATTTGGTTCAATTGGCGCATTATGTCGTTGGCTTTCGCGGCGTTGGCTTGAATTTCCTGGAGGAAAACACACAAAAAATGAAGATGTTTCAAAATTGAGATATTGCCAAAGCTTATTTCGACCATTATTGAAATAACTCAGACTCCGGCATTTCTTAAATTCGTAGATATTGTAAGATTCCGTAATGTCTTTACAAGATACAGTGAACATTGAATGACTCACGAGAGCCTCCTCTCTTGTGTAAGGTGTCTTGGAGTTGGAAGCAAGTTGCATTTGTCGCATCTTATCCCTGCGAGCAACACAACTCAGCACAACATCCACCCAACGATCCAAGTCATCTGGAGATGAGCTTTGCAGAGCAATTGCCGGGTTCATCTTGAGCTGCATAAAAAAATCCTAAAACTGTAACGGATGCTTTCTAACATGCACGAGTATAATAAGCTGTACCTTAAAGACAATGTAAGATTTATATGGTATCAATTAAGCAATATGAAAGATTCAATCGGTCAGACTTATCTCTGAAGATGTTTAAAATTATGGTGATGTACAATTTGTATCATACTCACAGCGAGTCGCTGTTCATGCAGAGGTGGGAATCTTTTATACTTTTGTATGTTTTTGCCTGACAATGGCTCTTCGTCATCCGGGTCAACATCCACCGTAGATGGCGCTCCATTAGCTTCTGTATATGTTGACTCTGAATGCTGTGGATTAACAGTGATACTTTCAATATTCCTAAATATTCGTCAGGATAATAATTATTACAAGCATACTTGGCATTGAAACAAGCGATAAAAAAATAAAAAGATCGTGAAATACCTTCTTTTAAATTCTGAACTTCATGTGGTCGTATTGTGAGTTTTTTTTTTTTTTTAAATTCATGAACATCATATGTTTTCTAACTAACAATTCTTACATCGTTCATAGATGACACTAAGGAGCTTTTTCCATCATCATTGTCAATATTCGTCCCTGCTCCTAGTTTCCTTGACGAAGAGGAATATTTGGACGTGGAGGAGACAGAGAGATGAGATGGAGACACAGACTTTGAGATCAATTCCAAACCACCACCTTGGTCTCCACCTTGTCTCCCCTCCTTGTGAGGTGGTGATGATGTCACAGATAAGGTTTCCATGGGGATGGAGGTAGTGACGTCGGTTTCATTGGGAGGGCAAGGTTCCAAGATGGACATTTCATTCTCAGATGCCATATCTCCATCTTGCACGATTGCCGATTCTAGCTCGTCGTGTGAGATTGTAGAACTTTGGAGTACGATGGAGAGACCACTTCTTGATGTTGAAGATGCAGATGCCTGTTCTGATGGTGATCCTTCATCATCGAATGTTTCGTCTACACTTCTCTCCAAGGCCTCCGTCTTCTCGGAGATTGCAGATGGACTGGTTACGGCAGAGAAAGGGACTTCGATTGAAGTAGATGGTTTCCCACCATCGCGGATTCTGTTTTCATCCATCAACATTTGGTCATGATCCTGTGATGACGTTGCAGAAGAGGTTGGTGTTATTGGTGAAGATGGTGTTTCATTTCTTGAAGGGGATGTCGGTCCTGGTCTTGAATTAGATCCTTCAGAATCTAATGCTCCGTTGCCATCTTCAACGACTTCAGCCTGTAGCCTCTGCGATGAACAAATGATGGAATTGGTGGGAGATTCACCATCTGTTGCGGAGGAGCAGTGAGATACAGGCTTCAAGATGGATTCTATATCATTTTGTAATTCATCATTGTCTTCTTGATCCTGAACCTGAAGATATGAAGGGCGAGTCGTGAAATCACAGGACGCATCATTCCCATTGGTAAGTGGAGACTGCAAGGCAGGCTGCGACACCAAGATGGACATTTCATTCTCAGATGCCATGTCTCCATCTTGTACGATTGCCGACTCTAATTTCTCTTGTGAGATTGTATAACTTTGACCTAAGATGGAGAAACCACTTCTTGATGTTGAAGATGCAGTTGCTTGTTTTGATGGTGATCCTTCATCATCGCATATTTCGTCTACACTTCTCTCCAAGGCCTCCATCTTCTCGGAGAGTGCAGATGGACTGGGTACGGCTACAAATGGGACTTCGATTGAAGTAGATGGTTTCCCACCATCGCGGATTCTGGTTTCATCCATCAACATTTGGTCATGATCCTGTGATGACGTTGCAGAAGAGGTTGGTGTTATTGGTGAAGATGGTGCATCATTTATTGAAGGGGATGTCGGTCCTGGTCTCAAATTAGAACCTTCAAGATATAATGCTTTGTCGTCATCTTCAACGACTTCAGCCTGTAGCCTCTGCGATGAACAAATGAGGGAGTTGGTGGGAAATTCATCATCTGTTGCGGCGGAGCAGAGAGATACAGGCTTCAAGATGGATTCTATATCATTTTGTACTTCATCATCGTCTTCTTGTTCCTGAACCTGAAGATATGAAGAGCACGTCGTGAAATCACAGGACGCATCCTTCCCGTTGGTAGGTGAACACTGCAAGACAGGCTGCGACACTGAGTTGTCATCGGGTGTCACGTTTTCATCTTCTCTGTCTTGCAGTGGGGATGACTGCGACGCTGAGCTGATTTCAGAAGGTTTGCCATTTCCTCTTGAGATCGACGTCAGAGGATCTTGATTAGGGATTGCTACTTCCTTGTCTGATGTTATCTTATCCTCCATCGTTGTTCCTTGCCTCTCAGATGGATATGAAGGCAAGACGCACACCGAGGAATTGCGAAAGGAAGCATCCCTAGGAGTTGAAGCTGGGAGTGACCTGTCATTGTCATTGACGATGATGCTCGTAACCTTCTCCTGCTGCTGTGATGAGATGGGATTATCACTACTCGCAGCAGGGGGTGAGCTTGACTGGAGATGACCCCGGTCACATTGAGGTGCTCCTGGGATCGAGAGGGGCTGGTTGATGTAGACTGGTCTTGTTGCCATGGCAGCACTGCCGTGCCGACGATGCATCTTTCCAGTTGATGCTGGTGAGAATAATACAATACTCTGTTAGCAGAACAAACTGAATGTGTAACAAGGAACACTTGTCTTTGTTAAAATGTGATTATTTTTTTTTGGAATTATTCAGGGTGATGTATGCTCACAAGGGGTTTTTATTTGGAAGTCACAAGTCCAAGGAAATGAATTTACAATTATGCAGCTGTCCTTGATGAATTAAGGAATGATTGTGTCGGCAATGAAGGTTGTCAGATAGATATAATTACCATTTCCTCCAAATCCCTTCGCTTCTCGATTCTTCATCAGAGCACTGGTGTAGTGGCTCTGGGCACCTGGATCGCTGTGGTCTTTTTTCAGTGATCTAGGTCGATTGACATGACCTAGGTCACTGTGGTCTTCTTTCAGTGACCTAGGTCGGCCGACTTGACCTTCCGATTGCCCTTGTGGTGTAATGAAGGGCTGAACGGTGGTCTTGGTCCCGCGACTCGGAGGAGCAAAGAGAGATCGAAGTCTCGTTTTCCACGGTCGCTTGGGCCTAAGGAAAGAAATGTATATAGGTGGCGGCCATTTTGTATAATGGATGCATCAAGGTAATTCTTCGATTGCACTATTCTGTGCTCTTTCTGTTGGTTGTTAATATCGAAAAGACATATATGACCACGACCATTCTACTTGTTTGTATCTGTTTTCCCGTTTCGTTTATCCCTTGATTGAGCTTCAAGTCTAATAAGAAACTACTTCCAGGAAAAAGAAAGATGCTAACGAGACTGGTTATCGAACAAGCAACCACCTCACTAACTGAATGACTGGTCTAATTTCATCCCACCGACATATTCTAGACAGTCAGCCCACCTGACTAAGAGAAAAAATTCCAGGAAACACACAGGAGGGGGAGAGTTAATCAAGGGCACAGTGCCTCAGATAGATCGTAATTCCTCCTGGACAACACCCATATCTAATCTTGTGGAGATAAAATGGGTTGCGGGGACCTATGTTCACTTTTGTTTCAAAACGACCGACATTTTGACGAAAGTGTGCCAATTCTATGCCAACGAACTGGAAGTACAAATATAGCAGGCTATAACAGTCTCCCTTCGGGCTGTAATCCATGCTTTGGATAGGGCCTACTTCTTTCTCTGCTATAGAACATTCCCTGATGGCACTCACCTTGATTTTGGTGGGACAAGTGCCTGTCCTACGACGACAGATGGCGGCCTGCCAATGTCGTCTTCTGGGGGACTCAAACTCGTCCTGTCGCTGCTGATGTTCGCCAGCTTACGGGACTGCCCAGCTCCGTCCAAGTTGCCTGATCTCTGGGTGGTGTTAGAGATTTGCGATGAGGCAATGAACAACGAGGAGTGGGCCGAGTCAACTGGGGCACTGGGGCAGGGTGGGCGTGCTTCTGATGCCAACGAGGGACCGTCGATGTTCAGAGGTCGAACCTTGTTGCGTTCAAAAAGACGCCGAAGGGGGAAACGCCTCCTGTTGAGTGGAAATAAAAATGGGTTTGTTTGCTGCAAGACTGCGTGTCCAACACATTCTCGTGGTTGATTTAAGGTATTTGGTGATTTAAATATAGATCTTAGAGATTCTTCTGCGTCCCTGGTTGCAGATAGGCTATTCTGTTATAATGAGAAAACGTCTGGTAATTGTCTTTTACTTTAATGGAAACATTTTTTGTAATGGGTAGACAGTATTGAAGTACAAGTGTAAAATTTCACTCCAATATCTATTTGTTCAAGATAAATGGACAACTGTATGTTTTGTGGAAGTCAGGAATTGACATATAACAGGCCTAATAACGGTGCAGTATTATGAAGGAACTTGGCCCAATTATGAGTCTTTGAGAAAATGTTTCGCATTTTCAGGTTGAATTCATGTTGCATTTTCAGCTGACATGATTTTTGGGTGAATTATTTCTTATAATGATTCTATTTCTAACTTTTAGGTTTCATTACTTAATTTTAATTGGATTTAAAGTGGTTTGCATAGTGCTCTGGGTTTTTTCTTTATCTTTGTTTTAATTGCAGGAGAAAGGACGGTGGGGAGTGGTCTCATTTTATTTTTATTTGTTTATTCTCTTTTTAGCTGCCCTTTTTTAAATTAGCCTGCTGATTTGAAGAAAAAAAAATCACCTAGTTCGGGGGCCTTGTAAAGGTGGCTTGAGATTCCGCTCATCCTTAGCGGAATCAATCTGGCGAGGGACATATCCACTTGGGCACACCCGCTGGGAGCCAGACATGGGCTGACCGGCATTCCGTGATCTTGGGTGGGTGTCACCTCCCCGTAGATTCCCGCTCTCGACACGAGCCGAGTGCGGACACCGTCCTCGGACGGTGGCAGAACCGTAGGGACCGCAGGTGCCGTAGTGCTGCCCGCCGTCTGCCGTCGAGGGATCCGAGTCACACGCCTTTCTGAATGATCAATAAAACAATATTATACATAACAGGCCTAGGACTGGGTCTATATAGCTTTCAGTAAACAGGGGATTGATATGAAGGTAGAGGGATGGAGTGTAGACGTGCTAGGGCGTCTCAACGGCGGATTCGGGGGGGGGGCAACGCCCCCCCCCCCCAAAAAGAAAATTACGAACCCATTTTTTTCTGAAAGTGACGTCGCAAAAAAAGCAGCCACTGGGTAAACAACCATCTTTTGCGAAAAGAAATTGGTTAAAAGTGGTCAGAAATTTCCTCAGATCGCAAAACAGGGCATCTAAAATCCAAGAAAAAAATATGCGGGCCCTTAAAGGGGTCCCGAAATCCACGCCGTAATTTTTGTAATTAAAATTATGCAGGAACAAAATTGTTTTGTTTGCCCCCCTCCAAACACAAATGTACTCTGGATCCGCCCTTGGACGTCCTGACATCCGGGGCTTGGTCCTGGGATTTTTTTCTTCTATCTACGATGCTTTCTCCTGCGTTCTAAGGCGATTTGAGAATATATTTACGAACTTTAGCATTCCATGTATTATTCTGGGCCCAGTTTCATAACATAATATATTCAGCGGCTGAACGAGGGTTGCGAATCCCCCTAGATCCGCTACTGAATAATGTCGCAATCACCTTGTGTTACTTTGAAGACATATTTTCACTGCAATGCATTCCAGTTATTTTGTTTCATACATCTTTGTTTGAGCGATTTGGAATAAAATTAAATGTTCACTGCAATGCATAAAACTTATTTTGTTTCATTAACTTTGTTTGAGCTTATTGGAATTTAATTGAAGCAAACAGACAGGTTTTGTATGAGTTCGACTTTGTTTAAGTTAAAAGCGACATCTTATATTAATGATGGGTTTGCATTCCACATTCCCGCATTTTCAGGAGAACAGTGTTGGTCTGGTTCCTGTTGGCTGCCATCAGATGAAAATTGTCCTCAATCATTTGGGGGGAAATGGGCGAATGCATGAAGCATTCTTGCAAAGGCACATGCTGACAAAACTCTGCTCTATATTTCATTCAAAGTTCGATCAGCGCCTTGATGGGTGTTAATCTTACTGAATTTATTGTGCTATACAAAAGTTAATAGGAAACACAAAACACCTCAAATGAAAGAAATTATAGGCCCATTGAGGACTAAACGTATCGTATAATTTTACAATAGGCTATACTAAAAAAATGTATCAATTAAAGACAATGAGATTATGAAACTGACGAACTTTCCGGGATCTTTTCTAAGCAAATTAAGCTCGAACGCCTACACAAGGGTCGCGCTCAATAGGCCTACGCATTATGCCTTCAATACTTGAAGGATGTGCGGACATGGCGTATGACGCATTGCTCTATTTACACGCTCTACAACGTCTGCCAAAAACTTAAGAAAGTACACATTTTATATTTTAAAATAAAATGTACTTACTTGTAACTTTCTGAAAAGGCCGCTGCGTACGCACTTGAGTAGTTGTACATCCTGAATCGCTATATTCTCCGAAAACGCTGTTCACTGATCGAAACACAAACACAAACTAACGTAATGTTACCAAGGCGCGACAGAAAGTGCCGATTAAGTTCCAAGTTTGCGCGCCCGTCATTGTGACGTCACACTGAAAACCGGGATTTGGATCTGAATGCCGCGTGAAGCGGGTTGTGCGCGTGCCCGGTTTGATTATTTTGGCAAAGTGCCAGCAGGTCGTGATTTTGGAAATTTTGCTCCCGATCCCCGAAGTCATTATTCGCAGCGCGATTTTATTTGATGATTCGCCTTTATTTTGATTGAACCCTATCTTATCAATAAAGCATGGCAATTCTACTGCCCTCCCCCAGAATTTTTTTAAAAAAAATTAGTCATTACGTTTCCGAGATCAGATGGCAGTGAAATTTTTTTTACACTTTAATTACGTTAAAACAAATGAAATATTATCTCTACTAACATATCCATGGTTGTCAAAAAATGAAGTCTTATTTTGGACCACATTTAAAAGTGAAATTCGGCCGTACCATTATTTCCTTTATTTCAATTCATGTCAATTAAATATTACAATCAGAGCGGAACTAAGCCAATTATTTATCGTCAATGTACCAACAGAGGGCGCGCTTGACAACAGATAGTTTCTTCGGATACTCTTGATTACACATTGTCGAAGCATTTAAAAACTTGCAAATGGTACCCCAGTCTGAGAACCAGACATTCACGTGCGGAGCTGGAGCCACGGTCGAACGTCTGATATCCTAACATACACATTTTATGCCATCCCGCGCGCCAGCCAATCAGAGTCGACTTTTAAAACTTTGACGTCGTTTCCATCAGAAATGTGGACTGAGCTGTTGATTGGTCAATTTATATGTCAGTTTTGTAACAGGTTACGTTACCGAAGAACCGATATACGGAAGGCGCCCGCTGAATGGTCAGAATCTCCAGACGCAGTCTTGTGTTGCATAAACGCCGAATCTGCTCGCATATCGGGGGGGGGGGGGGGGGGGGGGGGGTTCGAACGAAGTTTTCAATGGATTGGTTTTTAAAGCACTTACGAGGATTCCTTTAAAAAAGACTTCGTATAGTTTCTCGCCCGCTCTGACTTGGCCCGATAATAGGCAAAGGATCATTTGCATTTCTTTTTTTCACGCATTTTTTCCCAGCTCGGTCACAGTGTATTACCGTGGCCCCTTTCGAGAAAACAGTGAAAAAACCTATTCACGAGCCGTGATGGACCTTTGCGTAGCAGCCATCTTAGAGGGCAAGGCCTTTGTTTTGCTGGGATTTGCATGAATGAACCTGTTGTGCATTCATTGTTACTGAATTAAAATAACAAAAGGTGCCCTCTAAGATGGCCGCTAGGCATAACGTCTATCATAAAAAAAATAGTTTGTATCATTGGAAATCACCTAAATCTCTTGACGTTGATGACGGGATAAAGGCCCGTGGTGTTTAGAGGTGTTAATAGGTCTACAAGTTCGATCTCCAATCCAAGTAAGCTTTTTGATAATAATTCGGTAGGTTAATTTTGCCGCTTTTGATCATATTCATGAGAAAACTGTGATGCCATTCCGGGCAGAAACCTCAATGCTACAGATAATTTAGCACAAAAACGGAATAAAAATAACCAAAAAGGAATGTCAAATACTTTTCAAACATTTAAGAGGAGTAGAAAGTTGCATAAATGTGAACTTCGATCCTAAGAAAAGAAAAACCCCATTGTACTTTGTAGGAACCCTTTAATAAGGTATAGGCCCTGCTTATTTTCCATCGGTCTCCAATTTCTCTTGACCATTAGCAGACGAGACACCTCAAGTTAAGCCAACGGGGAAAACAATATTTTTCCCTACGACACCCTACAACCTCCCTCATAATGTTTCCCTTTTACTTTGTGAATTGTTGATAAGCAGTATTGCTGAATGAACTCATCAATATAAAAATTTAATGCTTCAATAGAGGATGAAAGAGCTATCCGAAAACTGAAGTGCTGTGTGTACGATGTGCTGTGTGTACGATGTGCATGTGCGCCGCGAATACATGTGAATACACACACATGTGCTATATCATATAGCACTGTGCGGCATTCACTGTGCTATACTTTACATCGTGTAACCATTGGTGTAACTCAGAACTGTGTTAGGCATTATTTTCTTTTGAGACCTCAGGAAAAGCTTCAAACATGAGGTAGGCACAAGTAGTGTTAATGTCCTCTTATTGAACGGTGTCCTCAATTCGACGATTACCGATCATGTATTTATGAACCCTGGGTACAACTATAGAATGCAGGGCCACTTTATGGTGGTGTACCCTAACGTGGCGCACTTCGAAGCATACCCAAATTTCCTCGTGTAGTGTTGCCAAACCTCTTTGTTGACAAACCTCAAATTCATGCAGTGAAATACTGGTACTTTTACCTTATTAATGCTTGCTATTTAACCTCTGTGAACAATTTCGGTTTCATAAAATTTAAGCCGAAATTAAAAAACGGTGGCGTCCGGAAATTGGGCACAATTTGGCGGAGTGTTCCCTAACGTGGCGCACTTAAATAAATCTCGGGAAATTCCAAATTAACATTTAAGAATTTCTGAAAACTTGATAAATTCTGATAAATCATTATTATCTCTACTAACATACCCAGCCAGATGTTTGTCACAAAATTATTTTCTTATTTTTCGGGGCATTTTCAAAGGGTTCACTTTGCACTTGAAAATAAAATCGGAAAATCACGCCAAAATAAGTTTTTCTTTTAACTTTGTAGCGGGTAAATAAATTCGCGATTTATGAACGGGAGTGTTTATAACTTGATGAAATTTCACTGTCTGTGAAATTTCAGTTAAAACTTTTGCTCTAGCTAGGCGTTACAGGCGAAAAATCAAAGTGCGCCACGTTAGGGGGCGCGCCACGTTAGGGTACATCAACAATACTCTACATCCGCGCCTCCGTACGGCTGCGTGGAGGCGTGGAACCGCAGTCGACCTACCTCCGAAAATCGATCGTGGAGTACGAGTCGTGGAGCCGCAGAGAATTGCGCCCTCTATCGGTGCGTGTCTCTCCGACTCCGCGACTCCGCGCCTCCGCCACCAGTGTATAGTGCCCCGCGTCACGCAGAGAATTGCGCCCTCTATCGGTGCGCGTCTCTGCGACTCCGCGACTCCGCGCCTCCGCCACCAGTGTATAGTGCCCCGCGTCACGCAGAGAATTGCGCCCTCTATCGGTGCGCGTCTCTGCGACTCCGCGACTCCGCGCCTCCGCCACTAGCACTCCAGTGTATAGTGCCCCGCGATTCTGCGACTCCAAGACTCCGCGCCTCCGCCGCTCCAGACAGTGCCCCGTCGCCCTCCTCCCTTCCTAATTGGCCCGCCCATTTAAAGCGATTCTGCGACTCAAGACTCCGCGCCTCCGCCGCTCCAGACAGTGCCCTGTCGCCCTCCTCCCTTCCTAATTGGCCCGCCCATTTAAAATGGATATGGATGCTTCGTTCTCAAAAAAATTCCGCCGAGAATTGCGCCCTCTATCGGCGCGAGTCTCTGCGACTCCGCGACTCCGCGCCTCCGCCACTAGCCACTCCAGTGCCCCGCGTCTCCGCGATTCTGCGACTCCAAGACTCCGCGCCTCCGCCGCTCCAGACAGTGCCCCCAAAACATTTACAAGCACGCCCTCCCTTCCGATCCTTCATGAGAAGCTTAGAAGACAAGTGCAGTGCATTCCTTCGCTGTACTTAGCACTTTTTTGCAGGTTTGCATATCTATTACTCCTATTCCATCCACGCCTCCAGGCAAAATAAAAAACCTTGCTTCGGCGTGGCCCTGCTTTCTATAGTTGCTCCGAACCCTGTTCCTTTCCTTGTGCCTAGTCATGCTAGTTGGAGTTACCTAGCCCGACTGCGTCTGGCCGTACAGTACTATCGCAAGCTCTGTAGTACGGCCAGACGCCCGATGCTTCCACAGAGACTGAATTTTTTGGGCCGCCGATGTAGCGATTTTGCTACATCTTTCGATCGCGATTATCTTTTCATCCAGGACACAAATTTCCAAAGTTAAGGTTCGTAGTCGTAGAGCAACTCATACCTTTTCGAAAAAACGTTCTTTGGTCTCAATATTTTCATCCATCTGGCCACAAGCAGACAAGACGAATTTCAGTCATCAGATTCCACAAATATCGTCCCCCATGCGATTCCCCCATGCGATTTCAAAATGGCGGCCGCGCTGTAATGTATGCATTATGCGAGCGCGCTTGGGCAAGATAATGAATATGCATTATTTAGTTCATGACCTCGTGTTTGTATGGCCAGCCGCGCTGAGTGTCCGACAAATGTCATAAACTATGATGCATATTCATTATCTTGCCCAAGCGCGCTCACATAATGCATACATTACAGCGCAGCCGCCATTTTGAAATCGCATGGGGGATCGCATGGGGGACGATATTTGTGGAATCTGATGACTGAAATTCGTCTTGTGGCCAGATGGATGAAAATATTGAGACCAAAGAACGTTTTTTCGAAAAGGTATGAGTTGCTCTACGACTACTCCTAGAACTATGAGGCTATGATGTGCATGCGTACAAGTGCATGTACCGTACCCCCCGCGGCGCGCTCCGAGCGAACCGAAAATCATCGCTGGATCATATGCGTGCACGTTTCAAGTGTCAGGTTCGCTCAATGCGGAAAGGGCATATTTTTCATCATTTTGGCCTAAAAACCGACAGAATACACCTATGTTAGTTCCGCACAAGATACGTGAGTATGTCAAGAGATAAAGTACGGAGTATAGGGGCAAACTGTGCAGCGGTTCTGTGTGAAATGGCTGCATTTTGATGGACGTTTTTGTACTTTATTAGTGTTTTGTGCTGCAGGCAATTTTGCGGGCTTCTTGATCTATGAGGCTCCGCTCACGCGGAGCCTCATAGTTCTAGGAGTACTCTACGACTACAAACCTTAACTTTGGAAATTTGTGTCCTGGATGAAAAGATAATCGCGATCGAAAGATGTAGCAAAATCGCTACATCGGCGGCCCAAAAAATTCAGTCTCTGTGGAAGCATCGGGCGTCTGGCCGTACTACAGAGCTTGCGATAGTACTGTACGGCCAGACGCAGTCGGGCTAGGAGTTACCTAGCCCCACTAGTGTGGCCGTCGGTATGCTGCGCTGAACCTCTGGCCACACACCGTGGTGCCGCGCGCTACTGAGGACGAAGTTTTCATAAAATTCAGGGCAGTTTCTTACATTTTCAGTTTCTTACTTTCTTATGGTTGTATTCTATGATGTCTCACCTATCACTTCTGGGATGCTTAGGTCTAATGATGTTCCATTTTCCGAGATATTCTTCAATCTTTCTGGAGTCCATATGCACTCGTGAAACGTCTGGTGATGGCAGCCATTTTGAATGGGACAAGAGATGACCTCAAGCTGTGATGTCGCGTGTATGCAAATTGCTTGTCGAGCGCGCGAGGGCGCGAGTTGCAAATGCGACGGCTGTTTCCTGTACCATGCATTTATCGTCAGGGGTGCCACGTGCACCGATCTCTATTCAGGATCTACGGCACAGGAAACAGCCGTCGCATTTGCAACTCGCGCCCTCGCGCGCTCGACAAGCAATTTGCATAAACGCGATGTCACAGCTTGAGGTCATCTCTTGTCACATTCAAAATGGCTGCCACCACCAGACGTTTCACGAGTGCATATGGGCTCCAGAAAGATTGAAGAATATCTCGGAAAATGGAACATCATTAGACCTAAGCATCCCAGAAGTGACAGGTGAGACATCATAGAATACAACCATAAGAAAGTAAGAAACTGAGAATGTAAGAAACTGCCCTGAATTTTATGAAAACTTCGTCCTCAGTAGCGCGCGGTACCACGGTGTGTGGCCAGAGGTTCAGCGCAGCATACCGACGGCCACACTAGTGGGGCTAGGAGTTACCCAGCCCTAAATTTTATCATTGGATTGTAATTTAGCATGTTTAGGGCTGGAGGAAGTTGTTCACCAAAACCAGCAGCATTGGCAGGTCCCCCAAAAAATTTCGAATATGTGCAATTTTGTCCCAGTTAGGGCCTACACACTAACTTCAACTGGAATTCACCTTTGTTTGTGCACAAGCAAACTGCAGGCATCATCATGACCGCACGGTTGTCGGTTATGCCTCCTTTTTTTCACTGCAATTGTACTAGGCTGAATCTTCATCGTAGATCGTTTTTTACTTCAAGGACCTGTGTAGTGGTTATTCCAGGCAAGGTTAGGGTGAGTCCCAGTTGAAGTTAGTGTGTAACTGGGACAAAATTGCACATTTTTGAAAAAAAATTTGGGACCAGCCAATGCTGCTGGTTTTGGTGATTAACTTTCTCCAGCCCTAAATGACAACCCAATGATAAAATTTAGGGCTGGGACTGGGTAACTCCAGCTATCTTATGCCATGGCTTTATTGCATAGCCCAGTCGTACTCCTAGAACTATGGTGAGCGGAGCCTCATAGACACAGAACGCCGCAAAATTGTTTGCAGCACAAAACACCAATTAAGTACAAAAACGTCCATCAAAACAGAGACATTTCCCACAGAACCGCTGCACAGATTGCCCCTAAACTTCGAACAATACCTCATGACATATTCACGTTATGTGCACCCAACAAACATCGGTGGATTCTGTCCGTTTTCGGCAAAAATGATGAAAAATATGCCCTTTCCGCACTGAGCCAACCTAACACTTGAAACGAGCACGCGCGCAGAATGATCGCAGTCATTTTTGGTTCGATCGCTCGGAGCGCGCCGCGGGGGTACGTACTTGCACTTGTACGCATGCGCATACTATCGTTCCGCTCACTGGTTCCGCTCTACACCATACCCCCCGCGGCGCGCTCCGAGGGCAGCATTTTAATATTTTGAGGGAAAGTTTTGGGTAAAACAACAATGAAGATGACAAAAAGGCAACACAAAAATACAGATGGCGACCACTTTGTGATGTAATATTCGAGAGGTGGTAATACCCCTTGAGCTGTTGCAGAAGCTAAGGTCACCCTATCTGCTTGAACCATGCTATCACTATAATAAACGTAGTCCAACACTGGTGACCTCAAATGCCTGTGCTGATCTGTGGTCAAAGTGGGAAAAGCGTTATAGTCAGTGAGGGCATCAAAGCTCAATCTGAGGATCAATCTGATCCCCAGAATGTAGGTGTTGTGATTATTTTGAGATTGAACATTTTTATCTCTGTCATGTCTGTTTGGCAGGGGTCGTGAAGGCAGGAGGGGACGCGGAGGATTCAAGTCACATGGACAGTAAGTCACTTTAAAATCACTTACATGTATATTCTTTGAGATCAAGGCCATGCGTGACCTGTCAGCCAAAAAGAAGCTGCAAGTTTTTCTGGAATATATTCGTCGATCAAAAAACAAAAAGCCAACCAAATAAAAGTTAAAGTTTTTCAATGGAATCCAGTGATTTCCTCTTTTTCCCAGGTTCAAAATTGAAATGCTTTTATTTCAAAAAATGATATTGCTGGCTTGATTTTGGGCACGAAAGTGGACGTTTGTGTACTTCATTATGTTTTTATCTTCAGCACGTGTAGAAACAAAAAATATTAAAAGTTTTGAGAAATGTGAGAGTATTGGTACGAAAGTCCGCAAATCGAGCTGTGAAAATATCATTATATCACCCATGCAAAGGCATATAACATTTCCATTTTCACATATCCTACTTTAATATACTAGCTTAACCCTAACCTTAATACCAACTCCATCAAAATCCATCCCCCACTTTGGGGGATTTTGGCAGATAAGTCATGTGTACCAAGTCCATTAAAATCCACCAGCACCAGTGATAGATTTCCATGGATTTGGTCCTGAAGCATTATGAGAAGCAGAGTGAGTAATGGATTTTGACGGACATGGTCCTCTACTTAGTAAAAGTAAGTAGGGAGTTAGGGTTAACCCTAACGATTCCCAACCAGCCAACTCCAACATCAGGGTTTGTTGGAATCTGTTAGGATGAGTACTGCACTAGTAAACTGACTGTGCTTTAGGTGGGATTAGGCGTACCACAAATAAACAGAGTCCAAATCTTTATGCGCACAGTTTACCATATGGTGTTGGGATTTGCAAGGATGAGGAAGGTTCCTACTAAATCACCTTATGGAGTTATGGTTAACCTGCCAGAACACGGAAACACCTTCATGTGAACATGTTTATTTTGTCTTTCCTACATGTAGATGGCAAGATGGCTATACTTTTTAGATACTTAACATTTCCAGTGTAAAGAACATTTAGTTATTCACTCTGTCATTCAGTTTTTTAATAAGAGAATCAGGAACTATAGAAACCATTGTCTAGTGCCTTTATACTCTAAATATTATTTTGACATTGATTTGCAGATGGCGAGCCCCGTTCATTCCCCATGTACCTTTTGACATGATCCAGGTAAGATAACAGGCATTTTAAGACAGTGTATCTTCATGAGCCCATTTTTTCTACTGTAGTCTCTAACTGTATGATGGGAAAACAGTTGCCAACAATGCCCATTTTCTTATGATGTATTGTCGTCTGATTGTGTATGGCCCTGAATGTCTTCAATTCCACTTTCCCTTACCCAAAAAGGACATAGTACCTGTTACTTGGTACACCTCAAGCCACCACAGAATTTTGGCCCATTGGAATTAACAATAAGCACACTTTCTGAAACTTGTTAAGTATAAAATGTGCATATATGTAACACTAACAGAAAATACTGAATTGGAGAAACAACATAGCGCCTGTAAGCCAGATAACAGCATGAAGTTGGCTTTTGGTGTGCATAGCTGCACAAGTACATATGTAAAGTGTTGAGACATTTTCCCTTGCTTCTGTATTTTTTCACTTCTACAGTGTGAGGCAGCGTTTCAGAGAGTGAAGCCCATGCCTGATGATCAACCACTCTTTGATGTGAGTCTTGTCACCCTAACCACCCTGAATCCACCAAAATCCATACCCCTGTTTGGAGTATTTGGGTGGATTCAGGATACATGTACCTCCATATTGAAAACAGGAATTTTGATGGATTCAGGATACCTCCATACTGAGCAGTCACCAACACCAAAATTTGTATGCATGACACAATAGGTGGATTTTGGTGGATTCAGGATACTTTCTAGTAAAAGTGCTCAAGGGGTAAGGGTTAATATGAGTCCTTAAAAGGCTGTGGCCAAGCAGTCTAACCCAATCACACTCAAATTGGTTTGGATGATTTCTGTGTCTACATGTAGGTCCAGCCTTTGGGGGTACCACATGTGTATGTGTGTGTCTTCAATCAAGACACTTTGTCTCAGTAAATTGCTTCTCCCACCCAGTAGCAGCATTGCAGTACTTTTGACTAGTATCAGTCATGATACTAGTCAAAAACCTGCCTTCGTACTGCCAGACTAGCCCTGTCTGAATTTACACGGCGATTTTTGCCATTCAAACTTTGAAACAATTGTTACTTAAATGAGGGAGTAATGGTTTTGAACGTGTGGTTTTAAATGGTTAGGAGCATGCTTGGCATACGCACGTATTTGCTGTATCTTCTTAACCTCGGACTTCAGCCATATTTGGTTCCTCCATTTGTAGAAATCAAAAATTATTTTAAATAAATTTTGTTACAATGTATCAAACTAAAACATTTTCAAACTTAAAACCTACAAACTTTGAAGAATAGACTATGCTTTTCATAGAATAAAATACAAAGATGAATACAGAAATATTGTCCTGTTTAAAACCACCCATGTGATGGGCTCTCCATTAATGGAATAGGTACATGTAGTGAATGTTCAATTATTACATCCTCAATATTTAGTGAAGATTTTAAATTCCTAATAGATTTATACTACAATTCAGGTTACATGTATTTTCCATCGTTTCATCTCTACGTCTTCCTCAGGAGCTGATTAAGAAGAATGGGGAGTTATCACCCACGCCTCTGGAGCAGTCTTCTGTACTCAGCCTTGTCACTAAGATCAGTACTGTACTTGATGAGATCATTGTTGCTCCACCTACTGGCTTTGACGTGGTAAGAACAAGTGGGTCTGAAAGCATAACGTCATGTGGTGAGGTTTTGGAACCCTTGACCCATGGACATTGTACATGGGTTGCCCTTCTACCGTCTATCAATTTAGATAAATGGCAAAGTTTACATTTCTTAAGTCCTGAAATTGTATTCACACAAAGAAGTGCAAACCGTAGCAGAAAATAATAATGAGGCTACTCATACAAGTGATTCACAGCACAGTACACCATCAAGCTTTTGCCTGCAACTGACCACTTGTCAATTTCGTATATTTGACGTGCTCCTGCTAAACCCGGACAAAGTTGACAAATGTTATTTTTTAGTTTTAGGCATTTTTAAATTCCTGAGGTTTTCAGCTTCAAAGTGCTATATGATTTTCATAGTTTATGTACCGTGACTCTATCACCCCTAGGAGAAGGATTAAAGGGAAGACACAACATTTGCAAACATCAAAAATATTAAAATGATCAAATTATCACGAAATACCTTACTGAATTGTAAGGGAATGACAGTCTAAAGCATCCTGTAAAATCGTCGCTCCTGGTGTGCCGACATTTTCATGAAAAATTTTATTTTTCCAACGCCGCTCGGCCGACCAGCGTTGGAGAAAACTGGCTTTTTTTCAATAACTGCTCCTAATTTTTCATATTTAGTTATTCTGCATTTTCTTTGCAATTGACTACACAAGATTGACTACTACAAGCCTGCTAGACTGATTCTCTGACCTTACAATTCCCCAAAGTCTACAAATTGTTCTGTTTCACCTTAAGTGGGGTCAGGGAACCAGACTACAAGAACATGATTGGTTTTCTTGGTTTTTCAAGCGTTTACAAACCCAAAACATGAAACAAGTCAGTTTAACAATATTTGCTATAACACACTTATTCTCCAAATCCATTTATTTCTGAAAATTGCAGCAAAAACAAATGTTGTACATTCCCTTTGAGCAATTACGAAATACACACATGTATTGATATGCTTTTTGTGTAAATTCCTATAAATTTTTTTCTTCATTAAATCGACCAAACACCCAGTTCTGCTTGATGGATCAAAGTTAATATTTTGGGAAGTTGTAAATTTATAGTTACTGATTCAGAAACTCTCAAAACCTGAAAGTGACTTCACACGTCCTTTGTGCAAAAACAACTTCTGCAACTTTGTCCGGGTTTCATGGGAGCAGGTCGCATATATTGTCCTTGTGAAATGTCCTTGTGATTATGCATATATTGTACTTGTGAAGCCTTGAACCATAATTGATATTCAACGATAAAATTCCATCTGTATAGTGGGAAATGAATACCATTTGGCAAGCTGATACTCAGATTTGGAATTTTTACACTATGCGCTGTGAGTAAAGCAGGGATTTGTACAGCCAGTGATTGCTTTTTTTCTGTGTTGAAGTTCTGAAGTTTCCGGACAAGACTTCCTTCAAATTTCGTCTTTAGAACCACTGAACACTTAACTTTATGTGGAACTGTTATAAGACAAAGCTTCAAATTGTATTTAGATGGCACTGCTTCTTTTATATTGAGCCAGTAGAAACATTGTAACTAGTGCGGACAAGGTCTAAAGATATTCTGCAGTGCGTAAGATAATTTGTTATGCCACTTTTTAGTAATAAATTGGAAAATGTGAGAATGGTTATATCAATTGAGTCAAAACATGCCGGAGGAAATACAGTAATCACTTAAAATCTCCCAGAAATGTTTTGGTGCATAAATGACTGTTCCTGCAAGATTATGTAGCTGCTCTTTACACTCCTTGTTATATTTTCTTGTGTAGGTGGTAGAGCAAGTGCGTCAGGTGGGGTCACACAAGAAGGGAACCATGATGAATGGGAGTCCAGTCGCTGACTTAGTCGTTATTCTGAAGACACTACCAACAAGTAAGAACAGTGAAGGAATGGGCTAGCAAGGTTTGCACAGCATAATCCCTGTAGGAGCTAAAACGTGCCTTTGCTTATGTGAAAGGCATAATGCAAAGTTTGTGCAACACTTTTGTGCACATTTTCACTAAATGATAGCACTGCATGCTGTTTATGTGCATCCAAGAAGTTGTACTGTCCCTGCCATTTTTTATGTACACCTGCCATGCCTGGACAATTTTGGTCTTGTTTTTTGAGTCGATAATTTTCTAGCAGTATGAAAGAATCTAGCATTGAAGTTCATTTCTAGTCCCATTATTATATCAAATAAATGGAAAGGTACCATATAGAGCTTGTAGTAGGAGCTGCGTTACTGAGGCCCTCACGTGACCTGTCATGTGAGTGCCTCAAGCATGGTCACGTGACCTGTCACGTGAGGGCCTCAGTAATGCCAGTTAAGAAAGACACCGAGACGATGTCGCAAGCTACTACTACAAGCTCTTTAACTCAAGTCCCAAAAAGGTACCTTACCATTAATTTAAATATGAAAGTAATTAACTTTGGGAATTGAACAAGATTATCCATCCACCCGTTAAATTATGGAATAATTACATCACTGAGTTTCAATTGTTTACAACCGGACAGTAATTTAGTCGGATCTTTTCCTACCTTGTATTTATGACCGATGGTACCCCCATGTCCCTATACCCCATACACACCCTAGACTTTTGCAATCTAGCACCCCCCCCCCCCCCGATATCTCAAAAGAATTCCCGAGATTGTTGTTACACAATGACCAACACAAAAAAGGGGGTTCAACCTTAACTTTTTTGTTCACTAGCCAGCCGAGCTACTGAAACAGACTCATAACTAGACCGCGAGCATTTTCACTAGCGTCATGTTTTTTTCTTTTATAGAGTGTCTCATAAACATCAATATGCGTACATGTAAAATGTGTGTAGAGCCTGAAAGTTGACCCCTGGTGGCGCGCTTCAGGGCCCCTCGAAAAGAAAAGTTTTTGAAATTAGTTTTGGTATATTGATTTCTTTTTAAAAAAATCACCCTCGGAATTTTATGGAAACTGACAAATTGCATGACATGAAAAAGACTTCTCACTTCCGAAAACTTCCACCATGGAACTCGATCACTCGTTCATGCATGCAAATTTATGAAATAATTTTGTGGCGGACAATTTTTTGAACAAACTTGAAGGATTTATTTTCATTTAAAAACAAATCTAAACTGATCGTTGTTAAGAACTGTATTAAAAAGTGAACCAAACAAGCCTGAATAAATTTAGAATCCATTAGGTGTAGGTAGGTAAATCTTCGCGTCATTATCATTTTCGTTCTCACGCAAGTACGCAATGTGAAAACAGACGTGATCGAACAAGGAGACCTAGCTACGAATATAGGTCGTAAGTAAAATTTGTTTTTACCATTTCCAACTGATTTCTCATCTATTCTGTGGCAATGGGAGTGTTTTTAATAAACAGATCTTATCATTTAACCCTTTAAAACAGTTGATAAAATTATACAAATTGATACAGGTTTGACTTCTGAATTCAATGATTTATTTCTTCCTATCCTTTTTATTTTTGCCGTATCCCAATAACTTTTTGACTCGCCAGCCGGGCTACTTAAGGACTAGTTAGACTAGCCGGCCGCTGTTTTGACTAGCATTTGGGTAGCGGGCTACCGCTAATTTCGATCCCTGGGGTTCCCTCTGTCACATATCTTGCTACATATGTGCATTTGGTGTCGAATACATTTAAGCCTACACATTGACAACGTCTAATCAGCATAAAAAAATAATCCAAGATAAAACATTTCTGACCTACATGTACCTACCCTATTTCTAAACGGCATGCAATCGGAAGCAGGTGTTCTTTATTTCTTTGGCGTTCACAGCAGGTGAGTTTTATAGAGCAGTACATTTCATCTAAGCTGAATATTGATGGATTGATGATATTGAGATATTTCCTGTGGGGCTCATTACGGGATGGCAGTGTTACTGAGACTTCCTGGAAATTGATCAACTTGAAAGGATTTAATGTGCTGCATAACCTTCATTTAATTAACCGTGCCAGGTCATGCACTTTTTTGCACTTTTGAAACGTTCTTGCCATTTTAAAAATAAAATCTTTCATTACACAGCAATAAACACGCCTGTACGATAGGATTATTGTGACACTTGTTTATTGTTATGGGAGAACATGACTTCTTAACACAGATCAGCGCCTCATCTTTGGCTGACTCCTGGCTTATTGGATTAATAGTTGGGAAATATGTATGTAAAATTGGTACATCAGCTCAAGAAATACCCAGTGGAAAGAAATTGCAATGTGTCCACAAACAGTGTGTGAATGTGAGTATGTACACACCGGCAATCTCGGACCTAGGACAAAAGGGTTAGGGCACAAACAATACGTCCACGATTGACCGATAGTCCACGATTGAAAATAGTGTACAAAACCAATGAGAGCTGTTGCTAAAAAGTTACAAACAAAGGAATGAGGATTAGAGACAATAGGGTGTCCACGATTGCTGGTGTTTAGAAAGAGGTGTGTGTGTGTGCAGAAGTCTTGAAAGGCACAGCAGGTGAGACCACAGATAGCACCTATAAATAAGCTCCTGGATCTCTTGTTTTCCTCCCTCTGCAAAAATCAACACTTTCAATCTGGTTGTGCTCCGTGGTAGCACATGGACTGTATGTTGGCTGCCTAAGGCTCCTTTACATGCCAACGGCTTTGATGTTGTATAGCTGCGTCTTTTGCAATTTAGCTTCTGCTGTTAGTAATGACAAAATCCCCCCCCCCCAAAAAAAAAATTAAGTAAATTAATTTAATTAAATTGTCCCTAGTGGGCATAGTTTGAAATTGCCTAATATAGGGGTCTTTAGTGCTTTTACAAAAACGCACAACTATCACAAGACTGAAAAAGTTTTCAGCACAATTTTTTTTTCAGTAAAAGTATGAACTTAGTTACTTCAGTGAATTCTGCTTTGGGTTCATCCAATGAAGTTGTCCAAAATCTTGTTAATACCTAGCATTTCAGCAGTGGCAAAGAGGAAGCGTTTGAACAAATTGCCCTTCTAATATCTGATTTTGATGACTAAACTTATCCGTGTTTTATTTTCCCTGCCAGCTGAAGCAGTGTCCAAGCTAGGAAACAAGGTTGTGGAGAAGATCAAGGAGAAGGAACCCAAAGAGATCTTGACCATGTTGTCAAACGAGGCAGGGTGCGAGATCAGCAGCTCTGAGGCCACCGTTAAGATCATGGTGACCACCATCCCACCCAACCTGAAGAAGATAGACCCTGCCATGCACTGTAAGCACTGCCATGATCACACGGATAGTATCCTGGACTTATTGTCTGGCTATCTTGGCACAAGAATGGAGTGTTCTTTTCCTGGATTGTGTTTTCCCAAATGCATGCAGTCCTGATCCTTGGCAAGCGTAGTCAAGCCACTGCGGCAATAGATGGCACTTTGGGAACATTGGGACTCGGACCCAAGAAATTCTGAGCATACCTCATGCACGTGCATTAACTTGAATGCGGCTTAGCCCCCTCGCCTGGGGGAAGTGGCTTTGACGCCCTGTCGGGCTCTTCGCAGGCGATCGTGCATGACATCAACTCGTGAACACACACACACACATACACGCCTTTTGTGCTTTATAAGCACCGCAAAAAAATGTCCACACTCATTGGAGGGGTCATAATTTTGAATCTGATCATCTTATGATATCGTCATGTATATAGACCTTTGGGGAATGTTGTTAGCTACATTTTGATACCCCGTTTGCTACCAAAGACTGTAAATTGTCCAACATTGACGAGGGTTTATGAAAAATGATGCTGTTTGAAAAGTTGCAATTTAAAGAGTACGCGAGTGGAAATCGCTGCATGACAATGTTGCACTGCCCGAAATGAACTGCAGGGAATATCGATCGCACAGTGCTTATGGAACATGGAATAAAGAATGGAAGTTAATTATTAAGGTAAAATCATCAATGACTCTGATTCAGGACTTAAAAGGTGAGTTTTCAGAGAAGTGAAATGTCTTGGAGACACTTGTACATCCTCAAAAAATCTTGCTTTGCTGAAGACAAAAGACAATTCATGTAGTGTGTGCACCTTCAGTCGTGTTTGCCAACCGAATTTCCCAAGTGTGATAGCCGTGGTCAAGACGTTCGATGATAGAGCCTGACGATTGATGGCTGGCTGCGAACAACAGTACATGTATGCTATGCACTCAAGGGGTACTGCACAAAGCACGAACAGCGACCTTGCACGGCTATGGGCTACAATATGCAAATCAGGTGGTACTAAACGAACGCCTTGGAACATGTGTGAGCTTTGGCTTATGTTTTTTCTTTATTTTGTCGCTGGATTTCCAGCAATGACCCTGTATGCGAATAACGATGAGATTATTATTCAGTACTTGGTCATGGAGGCTCATATTTTACATGGACAGACAGCTGGATAGTGTGGTTGCATCCTCCAACAAGTTTGGAGACCACAGACCACATATAACTCGATATAGATCTAGTGACAAAAAAACGAAAATTGTGTGAAAGTCAGGCCATGGCCCATGAATGTTTCAAGGCATTCCTTCAGCACCACTTGATTTGCATATCGTAGCCTAGCCGTGTGAGGTCCCTGTTGGCGCTTGGATAGGCGATTGCAAAGCTTGTGGTGACTGTTTTGTTGGCGGTTGATCATCGGACACTATCGTCTAACGCCTTGACCAAGGCTACAATTGTGATTAAGGAAAAAAATGACCCTGTATAAATTTGTTTTGTTTGTATGCAGTACCCATGAAGATTATGAAGTCATCCTTGGCAGCAGTGAGGCATGCGCGATGGTTTGAAGAAAATGCTCAGCATTCAAGGTAAACTTCATATAGTGACCTGCCAAACCATTCAGGTTCTATTGTCTTGTATTTCTGCTGTACCCACTTTGAGTACTACACAGTGTATACAGCGCCCCCACTTGTCTATCAGAAATGAGGAATATTCTATCATGACATTAAAGTTGGGCTAGAGTCAACTTGTAACTGCATCTGCATAATATGGCTACGGTTTGCACATGTGTCTATGAAAATGGCTGGAATCTTTTTCCGTAGACACGTGGTTATTGCCGGACATAGCCAAGCAATTCAGAGGCAACCTTGCTTTCATTTAACATTGGTCAACCTATCTTTCTTGGAAACGAAAAAATCTAGTACTTTTATATGGCAAATGTTAACCCCTTCCAAAGAAAAGACTATTTTAGGGGATATTGTATTTCTGTGTGGAACAATCCCTTCAGGAGCCATGTTATAATCAATCCATCAGAATCTGTAGTTATTTTTTACTGGAAGTATTGAATTCAGTGGCTTGTCCCCGTTTGTAGGTGAAAACTAACCCAGCTTTTGCGGATGGGGCTGCAGGATAAGGACCAAGTAAGCGGCTCTGCTTACCCTGTGCATAGAATCTCTGTGGCCTGTAACTTTGTGCTAATGGTAATCGTAGGTTGATATAAAGGTTTGTGGCCTGTGTGCCACAACTAAGGATTCTGTGCTTAGTTTATTACTGCCACATTTTGTTGCTAGAGCTGTAAGCGATTATTTTCTTAGCTTACCTTGATCTCACCGATAAACAGAGCTGCATTGGACTCTCTGAAAATGAGTACCTAGACCACCATGTTCCCTCATTAAAACACTGGCGGGCAGCTGGGGCTGCCACTCTTTTCCCACCCTATAATAGAGGCTCCTAAACTACTGTGCCAACTCATGCTACAAATCCATGCCCCAGATCCAAGGCTTAGTCTTAGATCTGTAAGATCCCATGACGTAGTAGTTGAATGTTCCAGATCAAACCTGCTCACCCGTGAAAGGCCATTTCTACCATCTACACGTACAGCCCACGCATGGAATGGTCCTCCTGTGCCTATTCCTGCTATCATACCATGGGCTAGCTTAGGCAAGGAGGTCAGTCGCTGTCTGAGTTGAACGTTGCCAGCAAGCTCTACAAGGTTAAAGGTTAATGCTATGTAAATGGTTTCTCAGAATGTCCTTACTCTTTTCATTTATTTTAGCAATTAGTGCAGACCATACAGAAAAAGGGAGTCGGAGCTCAACACAATGTGACCTGTGGCCTGGTTCTTCATTCCCAGGCAAAACAGCTGTCAACATATCCTGCTCATTTTTGTCCTCTTCGTGTAGTGTTTGTCTTTTTCCCCTGCTAAAAGTTGGCTCTGGGTGCCCATAACCGCACAATTGTGTACAGGCAGTCTGTAGTTGAGGATGTTCTGTTGTACTGTTTTCCCATCAATCAAAACCAGTAATATTAATTTAAAAAGTTTTTTAATCAGGGGCTGACGCAGTTATATGCCTGTGGCTATAATTTAGACCGACGATCTGGGGCTTTAGACTAGAGCCGACGCCAGGAAATCTCATTAATGTCGCGTTTGATGTCTGATAAATTTGTCATAATAACTCCCTCTAATTGCCAATTATAAGGCGTCAGAATTGCATGTATATTAATGTGTGTTTTGAATGGTTAGCTTGCTGTCAAGTGTTCTCCATGTTGTGCTGTTGATAACTTGTTCAGTGGAATGAGAGCATCTGTTACAGCTGTTCTTGCTGTGGGGAAACTATGTCACGGTCACGGTGAGTGAACAGGCAGATTAAGTGTGGCTCCAACTGCAGGCAGATTGTCGCCTCAGCGTAAGGCAATACTGGTGTCAGGTGGTGGATAGCAACCTATCGGCCAATTGCATGGAACTGGTTACCAGCCAAAATATTGTGTGATGTATGCTTGCCTGTCACTGGTTCCCAGCTGGTTTTTGCCTAGCAAGAAATGTGGCTGAGTAATATTCTTCTGCTATAGACCTTTATTATGCTGCCACCATTTCAGTCATGTTCCATGTATCCAATAACAGTACTGGATGATAGTGTTTTTTGTGCAAAAAGGAACCAGACTATTTTTCCTTCCAGCCTCGCTTTGGTTACTTTGATTTGGATGGGAAAAAATAAAGATGGCCGCAACATGACAATGGTCTAAGCAGCTGAGGCTGCACTCTGGGACCAGCTCGACTTGGTTGCTCTAAAGCACACCTCTTTCTCATGTAGGGAATTTCTATTTAAACTTCTGGTGCATTTAACTTTGTGTCAAAGACCTCTACTAATATGGCAAAAAAAAAATACTTCTGCTTCCGGTTACATGGTATTTGAAAATAGGGTAGGTAGGTAGAGAATTGTTTTTTTTTGGGGGGGGGCACCTTTTTTTGTGTTCCATCATATGGAGGTGTCTGTGTGTAGTAAAGGGTAAAAGGTAGTAATTGATGGTTTGGGGGTTCCCCTCATTTTCCCCCAATCAAATTAGGATAGAGGCTGTCAAAATAGGGTAGGTAGGGTAACAGGAAGCAGAACTATTATTTTTTGGGGCCTACTGTATACAAAAACTTTGGAATGGTCATTTTTGGCCTTTCCAAAAACGTGTTTATGAAACAGTAAAATAAAGTTGTGATGATTTATGAATGTGGGATTAATACTGACAGTTTGTGGCTCTTAATATGAAAAGCAGGATTTCCATATTGTGCCAGGTGCAGAAGCATTTCTCACAGTGATGTAAATGAGAAGATCATCTGGTTTAAGTGGGCTGGGCACAAGTGCACTGAAAGTGCAACATTGCCGCTCCCTTTCAGTTTAATTTGAAAAGCAATTAATTGGTTTTTAACTGGTAAATAGAAAAACACATCCCGACAAATGATGCGAAACTGGTCATGAAATTAAATTCATTTTGAAAGTATCTCACATGGGAGAATGAAATAACAAGTCCACAGCATGATATATTTTGTCAAAGCACATTTGTAATTGAGCATTTCCTTATGGGAATAAAACAGCGTTCATTTCTCAATGGTTTTTTTTTTTTTTTTTTTTGGATTTCATTGTTAAAACTACTCTGGCATCCCACACAGAATGTGCTGGTGAATACGCTGCCAGCTTAAAGGTAAAGTCCATCATTTGTAATTTGTGCATTTTGTTTGTTTGAAGCAACAAACGTACTCAAAATCTGAAGAAGGGTGCTGAACAACTAACCTGATGATGTTTCAGCTCAGCTTCAGCTGTATATTTTGAGAAAAACAGCATTCTAGGATCTCGATTCAAATCAAAATTTGCTGAATCATGTTTTGAATTGGGCCTGAATTCAGCGTCCGAGACACGTTCTTACTGAGCCGAATGCAGCTACGCGATGTTGCGCACTGATCCGACGAATTATAGAGGGCGCGCGTGCGTGTGCGTCGTGTCAACGCTTGCGTGCGCTTCGCTGAATAAAAAACGAACTGCTAACGGAAATTTCCAACGGTGCGTCTTAAGAAGCACCGTTGGAAAGGTCTTCTTTCGTTGATTTCTTCAAAATGACAGCATGCCAGAGAGAATAATTTCACAGGGAGTTTAGTCCCCTTGCTATCTGTCAACCAAGTATGTTTTTCAACAATAATTACGTCAGTCACTTTTTGGATAGCTGCAAATGATGGACTACAGCTTTAACTTGGTCTTTGTTGACAGCTTGACTAAACTTCCTTCAGAGATGGCCCAGGTTTGGGAATGAAAAACTGAGTCCATTAAAATACATGTGGCTTGTGACTTGACTTGTGATTGACCTTGATGGACTTGACTTCAGTATGTTGCAGGCATCTCGGAGAGTGTTCTTTATTATTTGGATCTAGTGACAACGAATGTACAAAAGGCTAATACACACATCTGTTTTGCCACTTGGGATTATTTTTGCTGAAAATTTCGATTTTGGCATAGGCAAAATTTTCCAACCAACGTTAATATAGGTTACAGCCAAACGCCACAAATACTGATTCGCAAGAGTAATTTCAACAGTATTTGTACAATATTTCTTGCCGAAACCTCATATGTTTCATTAATCGGGGTGTGCACTGGAGCATACATTGTACAACAATAGGCCGTGCTCAATGGCCAGTTCGAGATCAACACACGGTCTGCCTCCACAGACTTGTCTGACTTTGTGTGTGTGTACAAAAGGCACGGGGGATTAGCATGTTTAGACCTCATCCGGAGGCGAGTTGAGGCAATCTTGACATCTTCACATCTGACACCCGTCAGCCGTGCCTGTGTACAGAAACAGCCAGTGCGTGATATCACGTCCTCTGACGCGAAATGGTCAAGCGATACAAAACCATTGCCCTCTAACTCTGCTGTAAAGGCATAAAAGATCATTTACTTTTCCTGCATTTTGTTTGTTTCCAATAATAACACCACTCATAATCCAAAGTAGAATGTTCCAAACCTAACCTGTTGAAGTTTCAGCTCAGTTGATGTTACACCTTTCGAGAAAACTGTGAAAAATCATGCACAACCTTTTGATCACGAAACACAATTTCATCAGTTCCGCTCTTCATTAAAGAAATCCGTCAATAGACCGATCGTTGGAATCACCTGCAATTCTTGATTTCTTCTAAATGACAGTAAACCAGATGGAATATAGTCAGTGCGATCTTTAATCCTTGTAAGCTTTTTGATGATTCATTAGATTACTTTCGGAATGAATGCAAATGATCCTATGCCTTTAACGCACAGGGTACATGTATTTATAGTCTTAGGGACATTACTGTTAGTTCCTATGTCATGCACCTCTCTGCAAACATCCTAATCATAGTCTTTCATCAAGTGAGCAGATTCGTGTACACCTGGTCTGCCACATCTCATGGAGGAATTCTAATTGCTCCCCACTGATATTTGCAGCTCTGGAAAGAATTTGAGTGTGTGAAGACTGACGTACTCCTAGTCTCAATTAGCACATTCAATAAATCCTGCACACGTTTGATGATTGTTTGATTGTAACCCTCAATGTGCAACAGATGTGAATGAGATAGCTTTCTGGTGCCAGACTATACTGAAACTGATGGATTTGCTGATTGATTCTGGGAAGGCTTTTTTATTTGTGGCTGAAATTATGATGCGATGAAAAGGGCAGACACATGGAATGTTCTGGGATGATCTTGCCCTGCCAAAGACCCGTGCACCAGGAGTATTTATATTCCCACATGTATTTGGGAAGACTTGGACTGTTTTGTATATACCAAACATGGTTAAAGACAGAAAAATTATTTGAGAAGTTAATTATATACTTTAATTTAAGCCGAGTTGAATTTAAATTTATTTTTGTGGAGGTGAAAAAAATCGCTGCCAGGATTTTGTAGTGTGAATTTTAGCAAAACATTTGCACAAAAATGAAGTTATATTTTGTAAATTAGGTGAAAAAGAACAAAAACAGTAGAGTGGTCTAAAGTTTGTGGGGTGCAAGGGGTGTGGAGTGTTTTTGTTTTTTTCCACGTGCCTGAAAAAAAGTGGCATCTTTTTATTTATAGGAAGTGGACACCATCCGAAAGTACGTGTAGATGGTGCTGTCCATTGCAGAAGTTTATTTGTATGAATGTGAAGATGGCGTCAATATGTGAACATCAGTTCTGGGAAAAAATGTTGCAACCTGACGCCACTTTTTTTCTTCATATCATCTCAGTGAAGGTCAGTCATTGCGAAAATGACATAAATCTGGGACTGAAAAACATTTCCAATTTTGTTAGGAAATACTTAGAAAATTGTCTTGATTCTCCATAGACTTTGTACACAACCGCTGAAGTGTTGCAGGTTGCAACATTTTTTCCTCAGTTCCCAGCAAAGAGTGGTGTTATATTTTCAATAAGTTTAATTTATTAAAAACAAATGTTTCTTCTTAGACTTTTCATTTAGGTAAAGTTATTTCATTTCGAACTTCCCAAGCAACTGCAAACAGCAATACAGATGCACACTCATGTACATTGTCATTTGATAGTACATTGTCATTTGATAGTACATTGTCATTTAACAGTTTGTGTTGATGATCACCTAAAGTACATGTACATGTAGGAATGATCCCTTAATTATCCCTAACCCCCCTAGGCCCCTTTTGCCAGGAACCATTCTCAATCCTCCAAAATCCTCCAAAATTTTGCACTTGTGTTCAAATGAAGGATACCCACTGTCTCAATCCTTCGAAGTCCTCCGGCAGACCTGCCTCTCAAAGTGCCTTCATCCTCAATCCTCCAAAATCCTCCTCTTCTTCAAACACCATTCATCCTCAATCCTCCAAAATCCTCCAAAACTGCCTGGAGGACTTTGGAGGACTGAACAGGATTAGGGTTCAGAGTGAGAGGATTGGATATACATTTATAAATTTGTGGTTAAACATGTATTTATTTGTTGGTTTGTTTGTTTGTTTGTTTGTTTGTTTTAAAGGGGGATATTCTGAAAGTATGTCTCTTGAATGTCAAATGAAGTATACTTTGCAAAACCTTCGCTTACTAACTACATGTATATATGTGAACTTTTTACTTGAGTTCCAGTAATTCATGTAAATATGCCTTTTTGGGTTGGAGTTGGAATTTCTTGTTTGTTGTGATATATCTACGATGTATAGGGCCTAAGTTGTACACATATGTATGTGCAGTCCTGTAGTGATGTCAATACATGTATTTGGAAAATACTTGTGGTACATGTTTGCCACTGTCAGAGTTACTTGCTGGCCCTTCAGTCATTTTATTTTTAAATTTGATGAAAAGTGGACACAGTTTCCAATTGGTTTGTTTGATGGAATAACTTTAGTTTTTGTCTGCTCCAATTTAGAAACAATTTGTGCAACTGATTGAATGTGTTGCTACAAGAACGATTGCTCTTGATGTGAAATCACAGCATTGTGTCCCATGCATAGAATTGAGATTAATTTGATCATATACATGTAGTTGAGGCGGTACGCACCACTCACTTATGTACAGGGTTGTGCAAAAAGAAGGAAATCCACTTTTGACAGCAATTTTCACCTACTTGTTAATGCATATTTTGTCTCTGAGATATGGTAGTTTAAAAATTTCATGTGCGGCTTTATTTCATCTGCTTGACTCGGCTCCGGAGCTTGATTTGAAGACCAAAAAACCTACTACACTAGACTAAATACACGTGGACAACAGTGATTTTTGTGACTTGTACATGTATCAAATTAGCATAATTATTAATAACATTTTTCTTGCTATTTTTTTTAAGATTTTTTCACCATGAACATGTATTGTTGAAGAGATATACTTCACTACATTATAAAAAAAAAAACAGTTCAAATAAGTTAAGTAAGTAGGTTAAAATTCCTGTTAAAAGTGGGTTTCCCTCTTTTGCACCACATGTGTGGTATACACCACCTCGACCATGATCAAATTAATCTCAAATTTATGCGTGGAACAAAATGCGGTGATATCACATCAAGATCAATAGTTTTGCACCACCCTGTATTTCAATTGTAAGTGTTGTTATCCGTGAATTGTGCCCCATATTGCATTGGAATCATTCTCTTCGGTGACCCGTATTGAAAGTACTGACCCGTTAGTTGTAACTGTTAGTGATGCTACACTGATTTGTTAATGTACCTTGACATAGATGATAGACACATGGTCTGTGGGAATGATGACTGGTATACCACTTTGGTCTTTCACATGTAAGCTTTGTTTTCAAATGCATCTAGAAAATATATCAGTTATGATGCCATTGGAGTTTTGCATTTTTCATGCAATTGTTCATATTGGTTTTAATCAACCTGAAGATGAACAGCAAAAAGTGAACATGAAAATTGATGAAACGCCTGCCAAAAACAGGTTGATGCAATTTCATTTTATGGCAGGCCTTAGAATGCACTTTCATCTATGGTTAAAAAAAATTGTTTTAGATTTTGGTTTATGTTTTGACATGTTCTGTGCATATAACAAACATATGTCCACTGTCCTATGTGTTAGGAATCATAATTTGATACAGTGTTATCATATGGTGTCTCCGCAAATTGATACCCACACCTCAAAATGGCATGTGTTGATTGTTCTTTGTTATGCAGCATCAAGGTACTGATCCGTGTGCTGAAGTACATGAGGACTCGCTTCGAGGGACTTGAGCCTCTGAACCCGTGGATTATTGACCTCCTTGTAAGTGTGCTGGCTGTGGCTAGCAGTAACACAAGCATCTATGGAAAGTGGTCTCAGCTGCTTCCCTAGGCCCATGTGTTAGTACCAGCCGTAGCCAAGTAATTAGGACGTAGCCTTAGAGAGTAACCTGGGCCCAATTTCACGAAGCGCTGTGACACGTTGCAACTACAGTCCAGTGAGAGCTTGTTTTCCTTCAAAATTGCATCGCACGGCCGCCATTTTGTTGTACATTTTTAACAAATTTCGAGCTGAGATCCGACGACTCTTTGTTGAATATCAGACGACTATTTACTGTACGCTGACTAAAGACATAAAACAGTCACTGAGTTGTGCTATAAATACACCTACGACGCGTCGCACTTACAACGTGTTTAGTGAAATGGATCGCACGACGCGTTGTAGCTACGACGCATCGTAGAGATGCTGCGATCGCTGCGATGCATCGTAAGTGACAAAGAGTTTGATGAAATCGGGTGCTGGTCCCAATTTCATGGCTCTGCTAACCAGAAAATTCCGCTTATGATCACCATTCTTTGCTAACAGTGCTAGCAGAACAATGATTGTGCTAACTCTGTAAGCACAGAATCCTTAGTTATGGGATATACATGTAGACGCATATTCCAAAATTCCTCACTAACTCATGAAATACACTTACTGTAAGCAAGGGCTTTTATGTTACAGTAAGCAGGGATTTTTCGCTAATGGTAAGCACAGCCATGAAATTGGGCGTGGAACAAGAAAACAGAAAGAAAATATGTGATAATGAGCACCAGAAACCCTTTTTTAAAAATGATGTAAAATGAGAAGTGCATGTGAACACTGTTATCTCTTCTGGCATGAAAGGGGCATTCTTTTACATTGAAAAACTGTAAGTATCACTGGACACATTTGTAGATGTATGGCAGTCATAATGCATATCCAAGTTACGTGGGTTTTGGTAATTTTATGTAACTTGGTGGGTTCTCATATGTTGTTTTGGTAAATAAGTTCATTTGAATCCAAGTGTTAAAAGTGGGATGTAAGGAATCAACCAATCAGATTGTTCAAAATGTGAATCATTAACTCACTGTATTTACCCCTCAGGCTATAAAGAAGCTTTACATGCTCATTCCGAAATTATTAGTATAGTTAGATTCTCACCTATCCCACTCAGTGTCCGAAACTTTGGGGACCACATCTTAAAAGCCGCAGGGCCACCTACAGATCTGGAGACTATGCACTGAGTGTGACCGAGAGAATGCGCACAATGTGCTTGGAGGCGGCTTGGCCTTTGAGTTTGCCATCGATTTTTCTCTCCTCGCTCTCTCTAGCTGGGTCAATAGAGTGGAAATCCTCAGAGACCCTGAGCTAGGGTCAGCTGGGGCAATTCATATCTTGCCCCGGGTGATTGATGAACATTTGTAGCTGCTGACAGTTTTGGAGCACATGGAAAGCATCTGTCATCCCATGGTCGTAGAACCCTGACCTTTGCTGTAAGGGGGGACCCTTTTTTTTTTAAGAAACTACTTTTTAACTGACAAAATCCAAAATTGGCACCAAAGTTAGTTTGAATATGGGGTCGTAAATCATAATTAACTCCCTTGAGGATTAAAATCATCAAATCTTGATATAAATATGCGCAGTTGGAGTACTAAAATGCCTAATAATTGACGGGCTTATTCAGGAAACAGTTCCATCTTTTGTCCATTTTTTTTGTAATCAAAGTCAATTGTCGTGAATTGGCATAACAGATTATTGTCCTAAACGTTTGAGGAGTATTTTCTTTTCCATTCTTCTGATGTTTATAGTCCCACTATGCCATCATAAACAACCCACCCAGGAAGCCACTAGCAATCAACCTAGCCTTCCGTCGATGCCTGTCCCTACTGGCATCTGGCTTCTTTCTCCCTCGCTCCATGGGGATCATCGACCCCTGCGAAGGCAACGGGATGCGGGCTCACTGCACACTCACCCTGGAGCAGCAGGTAGGACAAGAGGATGATTTGAAGTTGCGAAGTAAAAACCCAAATTGCTTAGCAATTTCACCTACTTGACCTTTTACCCTTGGTGTCCCCAGACATTAATCCTTGGCGAGACCCTGAATCAGTAGGGGAATTCCCCTTGAAGTAGTCTCTGGATGCTTGTCGCCCTCCCTCTCCTTGTAATTTCCTCCTGTTCCCAAATCCCTTACCTCATGGGGAAATTGCTTCACGACAGACAAGAGCTATGCCGCTTGAGCAATGATTGAGCAAAGGGAAGAGTGATCAATTCCTCTCCCCCACCCCCCTGCCGATTATTTGTCGGGCCTTGCTAGGTTCACCCAGAGGTCAGTGTCTGGTCAGTCATTGACCTTTCCCAACCCTGCTCCCTACCTTCCCTCCTGGCATCCAAAGCCAAGGACCTTATGAAATCACACAGACAGGGTGAGGGAGAAGGGGAAGAGTTTAATACTCCCCTTAGGGAATCTCTCTGAGGAATTTGCCCCTGAGTAATTAAATTGTTGTTAAGCTTTATTGGTGGCCCGAGAAGGGTGATGAATTTCTTAGTGCGACATGGGCTGTCTCCTGCATATTATTGGCCGCGCCTGCAAAGAAGAGAGGAGTATTGGAAATTGAAGAGTTTGTCGTGGTGGGGATGGTTATTACCTTAGGCATCCCCAGGGAATGCTGTTCTGCTTGGCTGGGCGGACAGCAAATACTCTACCATTTCAGCTTGGAATTTTCCCTGATTTATTGGCCGTGGCTGCGGCTATGACATTTGTATGTTGAATGAGCACAGGAATTCATGATCGCTAGCAATCCGTTTTTCCTGAATTTGTGTGGATAAGATTTGTAGCTGGACTCACAAATGGAAATCCTTTGCCCATTTTTTTTGCTCTGCGTTTTCAATTTAAATTGCGGGTTATTCATTTTTATGTGGAATGATAAGTGATTCCTAGACGAGACTGGTTTCCAGGCAATTTAATAAAGTAATGATGCAGGCATCTTATGAAATGAGCAATTCTGTCAGCACTTGATAACTTTCTTCTCAAACTCAGGTTTTTATCTTCTTTAATATGAGTACAATTTCTTTTCTAAGTTCTTGACCATCTGCATTTCACATTGTGATGCATCATTCTAGCACACTGTGTCTCATGTTACACATTAATACACATTATACAATCTAAGGAGTAATTTCTACATAACAGTGAGTTCACTTAATAAATAAATGGCAAAACCTGGGTATTGATTTTCTTACAAGGGTACCACTTCAAAATTCCATGTCTTCTTTGATTCCACTTGCGTACTCATTGTCATATGCACAATTTCATGTCACAATGTAACATTCTGGCACACTACATGTATGTATTATAGATAAAGAATGATGAAGTAATGATCAATGGAATACTTTCTAGATGACAGTGAGGGAAAGATGTTCAAGATCAAATTTTGAAATTGTCAGCAAACATGTAAGGATAATACTTGTTCAGATGAAGGAGCCTGAAATGTTGACACCTTCATTTCTAGTTCATATAGGGGAAAAGGACAACAAGGTAGGTGCTTGCATAGACTTGACTTGGCCAAGTGAATTGTTTCTTCATTGTCAGAATTGCAAATGTAGTTAATTCAATCTCAACTTCTTGTGTGCGGCAGAAAAGTCAGGCATTGGCAATATATCAGAGTTGTAATGACTCGAGTCAATGACTCGACTCGAGTCCGACTCGAGTCACATTTTTTGGCGACTCGACTCGACTCGAGTCCCGACGGGTAAATGACTCGACTCGACTCGAGTCACTGCGAGCAAATGACTCGACTCGACTCGAGTCCCTCATCAGAATGACTCGACTCGACTCGAGGAAGGCTAATAAGACTCGAGTCCCAAAATAAAAGCAAAAATTACTTGCGAAAAATATTTGCAATGACTTACGCTGCGCCGTTCGCGTTGCCAGTTTTTGTTCACGTCACGTTAATGTTCGCGAATAATGTACGTTTATATACAGCGGCAGTCTGTTTCCTTCATCCATAATGAAACAACAAACATACACCGTGTCGCGGACTCCCACCTTGTGGTTCTATAGCATGTAATGCTAAACCCGGAACCAGACTTAAAACGCATTTCTCAATCCGTGGTTTCATCATTGGTTTCGGGCGATTTTGAAGTTCTTGGTGGAACGCTGGCTAAATTCATGTCCCGATTTCACACAAAAAAATGGATACGGACGGGCCCACCTTTAAATAATCAGAAACAGTTTTGTATAATGCAATTAGGTTTTAACGTTGTCAGCGATCAGCGAACAACAAATCTAGACCCGAAGCCAAACCAGTTATAAGACCGAAGTTTCACATCTTCTTATCTGTGACGTGAGCTAGCAATGGAAACTGTCGGTTGGGTACCATACAGCATACTTTATGTCTTTGGATTTCCGTAATAGACTGGTGCCTTGTATTCTTTCTCTCTTGTGTTTGTTGCTTTTTATTGTAATTAAGTGTTCAAATATTTGTGACTCGAATTGAATCGAGCTAAATACTTGACTCGACTCGACTCGACTCGACCACACTCTGTGACTCGACTCGACTCGACTCGACCTTGTTGACCTAATGACTCGACTCGACTCGAGTCACTTCTTTAAAATGACTCGACTCGACTCGAGTCACAAAAATCAGTGACTCGTTACAACTCTGCAATATATACATAATGAAAGGGGAGGGCCGGGTCAGATAATTACAAACGACTTTCCAAGACGTGCCGGGCTATTACACGTATTAAGATGATGGATCGCTGCACACTTTCTACCTCATTAAGATGGCCATGCGTAATTAACCCCTTGCACTAATTTCACAAATGAAAGTCCAACCAGGGCGATATCACTAAGACTCTGATGCCGTGATGTCTGAAAGTGAACTGGCCACTTGACGCCAGTGTGCTGGAGTCCACTGCTTTATTGCAATAGTAAGCACTTCTGCCCCTCGTGTTAGTTGTAATAACTGCTTCTATGGACTTGACCCAGTGCAAGGTCGTAGAGTGTAATGAAAAGTAAAATACAACATTTACTTACTTTGTTGTAATTTTCAGAAATGGAGTGATTTGGGGGTTAGTATTTTACCACAAATATTGTGACACTGACCTTTTTAAAGTTTTGTGTTCATAGATGCTGGAAAAAACGACAAGATAATGCCAGACTAGCTGGCTTGCACCTGTTCAGGGATGTGTGACCGATTTTATTGAGTGGTCGGGCACAACCCGACCACTCTTTGGATTTGTTGCGATGAATCTTTCTTTCTTTCTTTCTTTCTTTCTTTTTTTTTCCGGACAATACTTCTCCGCGGGTTTTCTCTTAAACGGTATATGGTATGAACTTGTAACTTTCAATATATATCGACCCTCATCCGAAGTGGTGCATATTACTCTGACGTCATGATTACGTCATCAGGTGTCAAATTACAAGTGATTTTAACTGATAAAGTGACCAAATACTTTCACTTATAACTCTTGAACTAAACATTCAATGTTTGTATTCTGTAATCAAACATTTTTTGCCGTGTACGTGAACTCGCTTGACCTTTACTTCCGGGTCTACCGGAAGGTCAAAGTTAAATGAATTTAAAATGAAGCCGTAGCCTGAAATCAAAACGAAGCAACATTTCTTCCGAACGGTTCACGGTATGATCACAAAACCTTGTGTGAACTTGTACCTTGTTACGAAGATGTTATAATTTTTGTTTTACGCCATCATGGCGTCATCAGGTATCAAATTACAAGCGATTTAAGGGCAAATTTTTACAAAATAGTTTGCGTATATCTATTGAACTAAATAGAGTATAGTGTTCGTTTTTTCGTGAGGTTGTAGACTATGCCGTGAGGAACATTTCTTGTCCCAGACACAAAACCGCTTGACCTTTACTTCCGGTGTCACCGGAAGTGCAATAAAAACTGAATATAGCTCAAAAGCGGAAGCATTTTACTACAGACACATATATTATAAAAGTGTTTAGTGAGGAATGCTAGACACAAAAACAGTGTGATGGCGTCATCATCCGGAAGTCAAAGTCGTTTGACCTTTCCTTCCGGGGATGCCGGAAGGTCAAAGTTAGGTGAATTCAGAATATAGAAATTAGCCTCAAATAAAAAGAAAACAAGATTTCTTTCCATAACCGATTGAAATCGCGCCTCACCAGTTTTCCTCTCATATCTGAATGCTGAGAATTAATATTTCCACAGCGTGTAGCCACAAACTTTTCTGGCGTAAAGTCAGTGCAGAATTTTATTATGCCCATGCAAAAGAAAAAAAAACCATAAAAGCCATTTTATGATATGATTAGCATATGTTGCATAAACTCCAACGACGTTAGAGGCTTCGTCAAGTCTACCAATAGTCCCAACTGGTTGTATGCTTGAGTAGCCATCCATGCAGCACCAGATGTACGCTTCCTGATAGGCCTACAAGTCTTATTGAGGTAGCAACAAGTTCAACTGCAGGTTGTGTGATTTTCTTTGTGAAAAACACAGGGTAATGGGTGCAGGGTAATGGGAGGGGTATTGCGCAGTTCATTTATGATTAAGTCACTGTAAACACAAGAAAATATGCCAGCCCGACCACTCTGCGTTTGTAACTCAACAAACGCGAACCTCTAGTTAAATTTTATTTTATTGTAATCTTTAACAAGGGTAGTTCATTTTAGTTTAAGAAAGTAGCTTTCCAAAGGAGCCCTCACATTAAAATTACATGGAAATAAAGTTAAAGAAAGAAATTATAAAATTTTACCAAAAGTCTAGACAAGAAATTACACTCAAAGTTTACACAAAACATACAATATGAGTAAAAAAAACTAACATTTGAGTGGCGAGAGCAATAAAAAAAAACCAGTTAATGCACATTCATACAGACAAATCGGCATAGTAAAGAAAAAATGAAGATTCTTGTTGCTAAACATCACAGTAAAACTAAGAAATCAGTAAAAGAAATCACATTAGGATAAAATTATGCAAAGATACATAACAATGACAG